TGGATTTGATTAAAGACAAAGATCGCGGGTACGTTTTTCATGTTTCATTCTGACTAGTATCATCCAGTATGATTTCGTACACCCATAAAGTTCTGAAAGACGTTTATCAGTCACGTCATTCAAGTGCATATTTCTGAATTGCAAATAATTACTTTCCTTTCAGCTATATGTATTTTATTCAAATTCTCAACGACCCTCACACAAATCCCAGACAAAAAATTGTTCCCGCATACGTTACAGCAGCTCTTATTGAGAATAATTACAAGTTCGTTCTTTGTCGATCATTCATTTTCGTCTTTCTTCTTTTGAATTTGAGTTTTGATTTCTGAAAGAGGACAGATTTTTTTTTTGAAGAAATTTTGGGTGATAAATTAAAAGTCTGTTTCGAATGATGAGATGAAATACAAACCAAAGAGTATAAAATTCGTTGCATGTGACATGTGACAAGTTATGTTATCATGTTTCGCAGCTCTTCCAATCCTTTATTCTTTTGATTATCCGTTCTTCTTTATGACAACTAAGAATTATGTGGAATAATTCGGAACGGAATTCAGACCAGCACAAGAGTTGCTGACCGAGAATCGTTATGTGACACTTTGCATCGAATTACTCTCGGACACAGCCTTAGGGCAATGTCGTTTATTACGCCTTTGGTTATTGATCGGTTTGGGTCGTCTTTGGGCCGATCATAACGATGCTCGTTGGCAAGCTATCCGATTGGTTGCCTATGAAAGGGTGAGAGCAAATTTGTGTGACTTTCAGTGTAATGTTAATCAGTTTGATGTTCAAGGAATGTTTTTATGGATAACCTTTCGCTGAAATGTCGTCAAATGCAATTTCATTAGACCTTTTATCGCTCTCTATGAATGCGCATCATCTTGCAACATTGATCTAAACGTTGTAAACGTTCGAATGAATCGATGTGTCACGAAATATTCCCTTCCTTAACGGTCACTGAGTACATCGAATGAAAGGTCGGATACATTCCAGGTACTGGAATTTCTAGATGA